CACTAGACGCCTGCTTCCCTAAGCCCTCCCTTTTTCCTGCTTGGCTTGTAGGTATCTGCAGGAGTACGCAGCCCTGGGCACGGGTGGTGGCATCTATCACTTCAGAGACCAGATCCTGTCAGGTGGTGCTGAGGCCTTCTTTGTCCTCAACGCAGACGTGTGCTCAGAGTTCCCCTTACAGGAGATGCTGGAGTTTCGGCAGCAGCATGGGGACATGCACAGCTTTGTCATTCTGGGTACCACAGTGAGTGGCAGTGCTGGGGAGCAGAAGAGCTGCAGTGCTCTGCCGTGGGCTTAGAAGCCAGCAGCTCCTGTGGTGGGTGGGTCCCAGAGGTCTGGGTTTCATCTGCTCTGCCTCCCTGTGCCTCCTGCTCCATCCACCACTGCTAACACTGTCCTTGTTTCCTAGGCCAACAGGACACAGGCACTGAATTATGGCTGTATTGTGGCAAATGCAAGCACACAGGAGGTACTGGAGGGCCTTGGGGAGTGGAGCTCAGTGTGGGTGGCAGGTGCTGTGTCACCTGCGTGGGTCTGTGGTGCCTCAGAGGGTGTGGTGCCGGATGGAGGGGCTGCACCCTGGGATTTATGTCTCTTCCCTCACCTCCAGGTTCAGCACTATGTGGAGAAGCCCAGCACGTTTGTCAGTGAGATTATTAACTGTGGCATCTACCTCTTCACACCTGCAATCTTCCAGCACATTGGTGAAGTCTTCCAGAGGAACCAACAGGAGCTAGCACTGTGAGTGCCTCGGCCTGCTCTGTGTCCCTCCCACCCCCCTGCTTCCTGGGGCTGCAGCAGCACGCTCATCCTCCATACTTTCTCTATCTTTTCTCCTCCTCTGCCATCACTCACTTGTTTCCTGGTCCTGCACCAGCTGTCCTTACCTTGGGTAAGTCTCCCTCTGTGTCTGCACTCGCTGCTCTCTGGGCTGGATTGATCGTAGTGGTAATGCACGCTTTCCCTCCCTTCTCCAGGCTGCTGTTTCCTCTGCTCTGCTCCTGGTCAGCTTGAGACTTTCCCTCTCCCTTCGTCTCTTCCCACCCCATTCTCATTCAGCTCTAGACTAGAGGCTGCGCAAGCCTTTCACCTGGGAATGCTCTCCTCCCCTCTCCAGCTCTTTGCACCAGCCAGCCTGTCACCTCACCCCTCTGCCACCACCCAAGTTAAAATCCAGCTGTGCAGGCTCTGGACTGGGGACAGGATCATACACCCACCTGGACTAGGTGGGGCTCTTGCACCATCAGCTTCTGGCTCAGAGCTTATTTTGGCTGTCCCTCTGCTGCTCTGGGGCTCAGTGGGGCTGTCCCAACCCAGCCTGGCAGCCGGCCCTCTCCCCACTTTCAGGAAGAAGCACATGGCTAGGTGGGAATCTGGGATTGTCAGAGTCCCTGAATTTGGGAAGGGTAGGTCTGCTGGGGTCCTTGGGTGAGGCCATGGCTGGGGTGAGTGTCTAACAGGGCTCTTGCTTCCAGAGAGGAAAATTCCAATGGCTGGCAGCGTGCAGAAGTGATCCGACTAGAGCAGGACGTTTTCACCGCCCTGGCTGGGAGTGGCAAACTCTATGTCTACAAAACTGATGGCTTCTGGAGCCAGATCAAGTCAGCTGGGTAAGTGCTGGAGCTGCTGTAGCAGGAGCATTGAGTGATCTGTACCAGGGCTGGGAGTGCAGGGTGCTCAGGCAGAGCCGTGGGGGCGGGTGGGTGGCGCTGATTTTGGATCCTCCTCTGCCCTGGTAGCACCAGAGTGACAATAACAATCTTCTGCTTTTCCTCCTCCAGCTCTGCTATCTATGCCAGCCGCCTTTACCTGAACCAGTACAGCAAAAGCCACCCAGAGAGACTGGCCCAGAACAAACCTGGAGGCCCTGTCATCCGAGGTACCATTCTGACACACTAATGCTTTTGGGGCTGCCTGGGGAGGCAGTGGGACCCACCAGTTGGACCTCTCTTTATCTGAGAGGCAGGGGCTCCTGTGGGCTGCCTCCCCTGAATCCACTGCCTTGTGTTGCAGGGAACGTGTACATCCACCCGACAGCCTCCATTGACAGCACTGCAGTGGTGAGTGCTGGCTGGGGGGACCCTGGGGCTGGGACAGGCTCAGGGGTGCCAAGGGCATCACTGTGCTTGTCCTCATCACCTGCCTCTGTCCTCACAGCTGGGCCCCAACGTCTCCATAGGGGAGGGTGTGACGGTGGGCGCCGGCGTGCGCGTGCGAGAGTCCATCGTCCTGCACGGCGCCTCGCTCCACGTAAGTGGGTTTGCCTGAGGGAGTCGGTGCTGACCCCCACCCCGTGCAGGGAGCCAGCAGCACCCTGCATTCCTCTCTCCTTCACCCCAGGACCACACCTGTGTCCTGAATACCATTGTGGGCTGGGACAGCACGATTGGGCGCTGGGCGCGGGTGGAGGGGACGCCCAGCGACCCCAACCCCAACGATCCCTATGCCAAGATCGACAGCGAGACCCTGTTCCGGGACGGGCGCCTCACGCCGTCCATCACAATCCTGGGTATGTTGCTGCTGTGTGGAATCACCCTGGGCCTGCTCACCGAGGCAGCTGCTCCCCTCCAGCTAAAGCCTTTGCCTTCCCCTCCCAGGCTGCAGTGTCACCATCCCGGCTGAGGTCGTTATTCTCAACTCCATTGTCCTTCCTCACAAGGAGCTGAGCCGAAGCTACAAAAACCAGATTATCCTGTGAGTCATGGGCAGCACCAGCCCCCTGCTCCCTGCTGTGCCCCACAACAAGAGCCTGCACTGAGGCCTCACATCCTGGGAGGTTCTCAGCACCCCAAGAGGGGTAGGTGCAGGCCAGGAGCCCTGCAAGTGCCTGACTGCTCCAGACAGACATTAAAGCTGATGAGCATCAGCCTTGCATGCTGCTTCTCTTGCAGCCCAGGGACCAGTCCTGGGCCAGGGTGAAGGCTTTGGGGACAGTACATTGCCCTGGTACAAGCCTGCGTGTGTATGCAGGGAGCACTTGCTGCCTGCAGTGTCTTGGGTCCAACTTTGTGTGTTTCTCCACCAAAGGGCACTACCAGCACCACCTTGCCACTCCTCACCAGGCTATCCCTGCACTATTTGCTGTCTGCAACTCCCTGGAAGGTCTTGGCCCATCTCTAAGACCTGGGAGCTTTGAATGTGCCTGTCATGTGTAGGCAGCTCACCCCACAGGAACAGATTGAGGCTCACGATTTCAGCACGATTGCAACAGCCTGAGCTGGGCTCCTGCCTGTTGCTGGGAAAACAGCAGTGCCAGGCTGTCCTAAGGGCACTGGCACACACACATGAGGGCTGGGTTGGACTGGGGGCCTGCTGGCCCTGGGGGGAGCTGCAAGAACACCCCTTCCCCCAGTACCACCTCTGCCCCCTGGGCTCAGTGCGTGCCAGGAGAGCTGCCAGCCCTACCAAGCCTGCTCTTGTCAGGCTGAGACCTGTGCCTGCTGCCTAGGCAGGGCTCAGAGTGAGGGCAGCAAGCCCCTGCTACCCTGGTGGGCCAACAGCCTCCTTCACACCAGCATGGCTGGAGCTTGGGGGGCCTCACTGCATATCTCCCCTTGTTACCAGCCACATCTTCTGGGCACCAGAGCAATCAACTTACATCTGTGCAAGTGGCACAGATTTAGCACTCACCTTGCCTCAAAAACCTGATTTTATGGAAGGCAGTTTCCTCCTGAGCCTGGCATAGATTGTCTACAGTAACCAATGCTGCCCTTTGTCCTTTTACCTGCCTGGTTTTGAACTCTGTGCTAAAGGCCTGCACTCCACCAAGGGCCCCATCATCATGCCTCTCATTTTCTGCAAGGCACTGTATTAGGTATTCTCCATCCATCCAGTACCATCCCAGTTTGATGGATTTGGAGTAAATCCTTGCTCCTAGCCCTGTGCCTTCCTGTGCCAGTGCTCCTGTGGTCCTGGGCAGGGATTAGCTGTTCCCTTTGCTTTAAGCACATTAAACTCCTTCAGTTTTGCCTCTGCCTTGGATGTGTTAATTTCCTTGCCCTCTGGTGTACACTGCTGCACTGGAGAAAACTGAGCCAAAGTACTTGCTTTCAGGATTGCATATGAATTTTCTCTCATGTGCCCCATCTGGTCTGGCTTCTAGTAGGGACAAAGGTTTATTGGCTGCTTGATGTGGCACAGGGGCATTTCTTATCCCTGTTGTGTAATGCCTCTTTTCCCTAAACTCCCTCTGCCTGATTGCCCCTTCTGCAGAGTTATCTGGGGGACAAGCCCTGCCTGGGACATCGCTCTGTTCCAGCATGATCCTGCTTCCCCCTCTTGGAGGGAAGGAGCTGTGCAGCCCAGCCCTGCTTGGGCTTTGTGCAGCTCTAGCACTGCCTGAGCTGGAGGGGAGGAAGGAGTTAAAGAGGCCTCCACCGAGGTGCCAGGAAGTCTGGAAACACTTTAAGGTTGTCCTGCCCTGAGCGGCAACAGCTCCAATTACTTGAGGCCAACATCTGGGCTCAAAGAGGGGCCTCCCACATCCAGGGCTCCAGAGCAGGAGAATAAGGCTTCAGCAGGGTGGGAGGGGGCTCTGCCTGCCCTCCCAAAGCACGGGTTCTGTGGAGCATTGCTCAGCTCTTGTCTGCTGCACAGCCAGGCTCCAGTGAGCCCAACCCTGCAGCAGCAGGGCCGGACAGACAGCAGCCACAGTCAGGTGTGTTTTGCTGCAAACATTTAATACAAACCTGATTCAAAGTACAAGCACTAGTGTAGTGTCCCTGCCACCACAGCTGGACAGAGCCAGCTCTGCTCCCCAGTCCCCAGGGAAGCAGAGCATTGAGCCGGCACTGTCACCCCACAGGCAGCTGCCTGGTCCTGCAGCGTTTGCTCCTCCTGCAGTGCCAGCTCCGTGGCCCGAGGGAGCCACTGCTGCAGGCTACACAAGAGAAGGGAAGAACCGGCCCACCTTCCTCGGGGTCGGCCCCTGCCTGCGTGGGGAGAGATGAGTCAGGGGTACAAAGCGAGCTCCCCGGGGCCCCACCCACGCCCGACAGCACTCACGGGGGCCGGCTGGCCTTGCCCACGCAGCTCCTCAGGGTGCTGGGGAGGCAGCAGGTGCCAGCTGGGCTCAGCTGGTCCGACTTGCGCTCCGGAGAGCCAACGGGCTGGAAGAAGGGTCCTGCAGGACAGATTGGGGACAGCTATCTCACCCCAGCCAGACAACCAAGACCTTTCAAGGAAGCCGAAGGCCACGATGGGTGGGGGCTGGGGCTCCTGTGCTCACCACGTTCACCTCCCAGGACTGCCACTGGCACCAGGTTCTCCTGCTCTGTCTCCACAAAGCCTCTCCAGAAGCTGGGTGGCAGTGAAAGGAGTCGAGCCACCACCTGGGCAGAGAGAGGTGTAGGATGGGGACACTGGCAGTGCCCAGGGTGCACCCCACACCTCAGGGGCCCCTCACCTTGCACTGCCGAGGTGTGTCCTCCATGATGGCGAGTGGTGTGGGGTTGGCTGAGCTGTATCCCACCAGTGTAGGGCCAAACACACGGGACAGGTTGAGCACATCCATCTTGCAGTCAGGGCTGTGTGACACCCTACAAGGGGGAACAGAGGGTGTGTGCATGCTGCCCAGCCCAGGGGCTCCTCATCCGCAGCTTCCCTGCTCTAAGGCACAAAGTCTGGGTGAGGGGCAGAGAGATGGGGAGATGGGGACAGACCTGTGCCGGGATGAGCCACTCACCTGAGCAGGTGCAGCATGAGGAAGGCCAGGGTATCCCTGTTGGGTGGGGGCAGCTTGCTCACCACATGGCGCAGGGCTGTGTCACTGGCAGCATCATCGGGGATGTCTGTGGTGGTGCCAGGGAGCGGGGTCAGGGGAGAAGCAGTCTCTTCCCCCTCCCTCACCTTGGGACCCCTGCTCACCAGCAGCCTTCAGGAAGGCAGGGCGGAGGCTGAAGGTGACCAGCGGTTCCTTGAGTCCCCGCAGAAAGTCCTTGAGCACCCCGCACACCACGTGGATGTCAGTCACAGTGCTGAGGGCAGGCAGCGCTCCCCCGGCCCGCAGCAGCTTCTGCTTCCACTCCCGCACCAGCTGCTCGGCGCCTGGCACCCGGTACAGCCCTGTCTGGGGCACAGGGAGAAGGGCTCAGCCCCTGGGAACCACAGCACTGCCACCTTCACCATCCTGGCCCCTACCTCTGTCAAGCCTCGTTTCTCCACCTCGGTCACACACTGCACCACCAGCGTGGGCACCAGGGGCAGCGTGGAGGGCGCGAAGTCAGCCAGCACACCCTGGGGAGAACAATGCCAACCTGCGCTGTGCCCACCAGCCAGCCCTGCAGCCACGGTGGGCAGAGGCTCAGCTTCCTAGGGCCAGTAGCCCTGAAGCCTCATGAGGATGTGGAGAGGCCCCCAAGCACCGGTGTGCCCCCTCACCTCCTGGGGCCAGGTGTGGTGCTGAGGCCTGGGCGTGCAGAGGCTGGGGCACTGCTCCCGACACTTGGTGTGCAGCAGCAGCTGGCACTGGCAGCACTTGATGGCAGTCTTCCCAAAGCGGATGCGGGAACCACAGACACCACACGGCTCAGGGCGGATCACCTGGAGAGGGGGAACAGGATCACGGGCTCCCCTTCTTGCAGATACCCAGTAACACTCCTTTAACTTCCCCCAGCCAGGTCCCGCTGTCTCCATCCATTCCCCTGGCAGGTGGAGCTAAGGGGTTGGGGAATGTAGGACAGCTTTGCCCTCCCATCCCATAACTGTCCCCCCTGCCCACCTCCCCAGAGGAGAGAGAGGCTGAGTCACGCACCGTTTTGGAGGTGAACTTGTGCTGGACTGCTGGGAGACTCCGTGGGGGTGAGGGGAAGGGGGCTGGTGCTGGCTGTCCCACTGAGCTGCCCTCAGTGTGGCTTTCCTGCCCCGCAGCACGGGAACCCGGATCTTCACTGGTGCCCCAAACTGTGGTCAGCTCTGCAGAGGGAGGAGGCTGTGGGGGGACACCTGAAAGGCAAGCCACTCCATCTACCAGCTAGGATGTGAGGAGGCTTCCCACCTCCCAGGGAGTCTCTGCATGAGACAGTGGCATCTGGCATGTCCAGAGGGCCCCAGTACCTCCGCGGTGGGGACAAGCATCCCCAACAGATCCCCTCCCTCCTCTGTGACAGCAGCACCTTGAGGCTGGTCCCATACCACCCATCAAACCCCTCCTCAGCCCTTCCTGTGACCTGCATGTGCAGAGACACGATGTCCCTGGCGAGAGCGGCGTTGAGGCACCAGAACAGCAGGCAGGAGGTTGTCAGCAGGGCCTGGGACCTCAGCAGGAGGGGGCATAGAGGGGACACTCATCTGCCAAAATGAGACACCAATAAGACATGTGACTGCAGCCCCACAGTTCTCCAACATCTCCCACATGATCACTGGTCCACCTGATCCCCATCCCTGTGCTCCTGCACAGCCAGGGATGCTGCCACCATGGGAACAGGGGGATGCAGGCTTTGGGGCAGTGGTCCAGCACAGCCAGGGATGCTGTCCCCACTGGGACCAAGGTGATACAGGCTGAAGGACACAGGCACCCAGAGGAGACAGATGAGCACTGTCCCCACAGCATCCACAGGGCTGAGGGCTGCAGCATTGCCTTCTAGCACAGGGCCCTGCCCTGCACCCCATCCCTGCCCAGGGCACGCTGGGGTCTCTACTCACGGCATTATGGGGTACCACAGAAGAACGGTGCCGCTTTGCCATCACCACAGGGCCAACCTGAGGGGCCAGGGACACACGCTGGAAACAGAAGACAGTGTGAAGAGCAGGCAGAGATGCTCCCCTCCCTGACATACTCCCCAGAGTACCCAAGCCAAGTGGCCTCAGCCCAGCAAGAAGTCCCAGTCTCAGCTACTCCCCAAGCACTGCCTGCCCCACACCAGGCATGGTGGGGACTGAGGCTTCCCCACCAGGTGAGAGCCAGCCCTGGGGCTGGGGGAAGCCAGGTCAGGCCTGCAATGCAGAGGTGTGAGCAGAGCGGGGTGCGGGATGCCCGCACATGGTGATGAATTATTGAGGAGCCCAGCTGGGCGACGGTGGAGCGTAATGGAGTTTCTATTGATCGTGGGAGGTTTGCCGAGAGACGATGCTCCCAGCACAGCATCAATAAATTAAATTCCCTGCCAGGCTCCTTGCAGCCTCCTGTACCGGGATGGAGAAGTATCTGGGTGTCCTCACCTTGCATGGCACAGGGCCAGCACCCCAGCCTGGGATGCACACTGAGGGACCCAAAGGGCACATTGAGGGAGCGTCATCAGAGCTGGGGGATCATCACTCACACAGAGGCACAGACACCACCTCAACACCAGCCCCCAAAGCTGCCACATTCCAGCATCTCTTCATACCTGCCTGTCCGGAGCTTTGCGCTTCAGGGTCCGCACCAGTGTCACATCAACATCCTGAAAGGCAGCAGGGAGTCTGGGGCTGCATCAGGCCAGGGGCATCCCCAGCATTCATCTCCAGCTCTGATAGCAGCCCACCCCCTAACCATGGATATACAAAGGAGCTGTGCCACTGCAGAAGTGGGGCAAAAGGACCCCCTCGCTATTGGGGTAAGCCCTGAGACTGACAGCCAAACACTTCTTACCACATCATCCTCAGTGCGGTCATAGCTGATATCTGAGTGGGACAGGAGGGACTGGCATGACTCGTCCACTGCTGATGACCTGCAGAGTGAGTTCAGCTGGAGCAATTCCCCACTCAGCCAATTCCCCCCTCACTCCTGAGAGCCCACAGCTGATGCCTCTGCCGAGCCCAGGCCCCTCCTTGCCCAGCCAGCCCCTCAAGCCCAGCAGGGATAGGGGGAGAAGGGCACAGCCGACCCCAGGGCTGCCCGAGGGCTTGGGGTGAGGACCTGCTCACCTCCTGCCGGGTGCCAAGGCTGCCCCAAGGCGCCGGCCAGCCAGGGCGCTGAGAACAGAGCACTGCTCCCTGCTCAGTGCCTCGCTGCCCCATGGCTCCCGCATCAGCAACTCGAGGACCAGCTGAAGTTTTCGCTCCTGCAAGTGAAACGGGGTTGAGCAGGCTGAGGGCCCCGCAGCCAGCCCCACAGGGTTCCCCTGCGGCCAGCCCCCGACCTGCTTCTCCAGCTCAGCCTCTGCCCGGTGCCGCTTCTTCATCTCCACCTCCACCTGGTTTCGGGCGTGCTTGAGCTTCACCTCCAGCGCTGCCCGCTCGGCCTCCACACGGGCCAGCTGCTCGCGGGCACGGCGCCCGTCCTGCTCCAGCCGGCAGCATCTCTGGCGCGTCGCCTCAAAGCACCGAGCGATCCGGATGCAGTCTGGGCACAACAGCGGCGGGCGGTCACTCGGGACGGGGGGCCAGCCCGCAACTCCCCCAGACCACGCCGGCGGCAGAGACGAGGGTGCCGGTGTGCTTCGGGCCGAAGGGTTACACACACCCACCTTCCTCCACGCTGCCGCCGAGCTCCAGGAGCTGCAGCCCGCGCTCCAGCCGGGCCAGGAGCCGCCCGCAACGCTGCCGCAGCATCCCGCCGCCCGGGCCGGGACGGGATGGGGGCCCCGCAGCCAGGCACCCCCTTTGCACGTCTCCAGCCGCAGCTCCTGCCCCACGCTTTCCGCCGGGATACCCCGTGGGGCCTCGGGACGGCGAGGGGCCCTCCCGGCCGGCCTATGTGGGCCGGGGGCCGGGGTGGAGCCCGTCCCGGCCCCGCCTCCGCCTCCCGCCGCCACCGGGCTCCCACCCTCCGGCCCGGCGGCTGCTGGCGCGGGGCAGCATTCCCGGGATCCCAGGGCGAGGGATGCCCCGGGGTGCGGGGGCAGCGCTGGCTGCAGGGCTGCGGGGCAGGGTGAGGGTTGCCTTTGGGGGCGGGGGATGCCCAGGCTCTGGGTGTACCTGATGAGAGCACTTAAGGGGTGCAGGGGCAATGGGTGCGGGGTGCTCGGGGCATGCAGGGGCATCGGGAGGACCAGCGGGCGTGGAAGGCGCTGGGGTTACAGCGATGCTGGAGGGAGCACCGCTTTGCCACGCCCGCATCCCGGGACCGGCGAGGGAATGCCGGAGGAGCCGATGTCCTTGTCCGCTGTCCCCCGCGCTGTGTCCCGCACACCGAGCGGCGGGCGGGGATCCCCCGCGCCGGCTCTCCCGGCCTGGCTCGTGTCCTGCAGATGGAGCCACCTCCCCGCAGCACAGCAGCCCCGTCGCTGCGCGCCTTGCCCGTGCTCTGCCCCGGGTCCCTTGCCCGGCGGTGCCAGGGCTGCCCCCGGCCCGTGCCCCTCCCTGCCGCAGCCCGGGGCCTGGCGGCGCTGCCTTCTCGCAGGAGGGTCGGGGCAGGCTGCGGGGGGCGCCGGTGACAGGCAGCTCCCCCTCCCCGGTGCCTGTCCCGACCTGCTAGGAATACCGGGAATAGCAGCGGGGCTGGCGGCAGGGCTGGGCGTGCAAGTCCCTGCACACACAGACACACACACACGCACACACACACACACATAGAAATACTCATGAACAGCTCGCAGAATCCCCGCGGGCCTTCACACCCCCCTCCAGCTGACACTGAGCTGGAGGAGAGGTTTTGCACCCTGTGGACACAGCACAGCACCAGGTCCATCCCAGCACCTCGGTGACTCTTGGGAGCGGCTGTGGGCTCAACACGCTCCTCTCTCTGTGCCAGTCCCTCAATGAGAGCCTAGATAGTGACAAGAAAGGGGTATGGGAGAGTACTATTGCATGCCAGGGATGTGTCTCAGGCACTTGGTGAGAAAATAGCTGGGATGTGTAAAATAACTATAAGGGCTCGTGTCACTCCAAGGGCTGAACCTAATCAGCATTTGTGACCAAGGTTATGTGGCACTGGGGACACTGGCCACGATGCTGCTGGATGGGTGCTGCTGCCTGGGCCCCAGACAGTGCCAAAGCATGGTCCCCCTTTGGAACAGAGACCACTGGGGGCTGCGACAGGCTGGGAGCACCCTGGCAAGGCTTTGCTCCATCCTGTGCCAGACCATGGGGAACAGAGGGTGCCTCTCTGCAAAGCTCCTTCCTCCCAAGGTTGAATATGAGTCAGGTTTTGGAGCGACTTTAATTACTACTGGATCGATAGGCTCAGCATGGCCGAGCAAAATCCAATTGCAGCCCCGGGGGCCTGCCTGCTCAGCCCTTCCTGCCCACTCAGCCCTCCCTGCCTGCCTCTGGGGAGGCACGTGCTCCCTCTCTGTGGATCCTCCTCAATCCCACTGGCCCAGCACCCAGCCATGGGGGGTAAGACCCCATCCTGCATATGCAGCCAGCACTGGGCCTGCTCAGCTCTAGCAGGGGACATGCATTCCTGGAGCAGGGCAGCAGTGGAGATGCCCCAGCCTTGCCAGTGCTGCCCATGGGAACACACACACACACCCCTGAATCCTTTTCCATACTGAATGCATGGAGCAGGTTTGTGGTCCTGGACCACCTTGACCCTGGGCACAAGAACCCTCAGAAGGGCAGAGTGGCCTTGGCAACAAGCAGACATCCCCTCCTATGCCCAGGGATGGGTGGGGGGCACTTGCCACCCATCCTGTGTCCCCATCACCGCCTGCTACCCCCTCCTAAGCCACCCTGGCTTGGCCAGGTACTGCATAAATAGCTGTTTGTGTCTCCACTCGGCCCCTGCGTGGGAAATAATATCGGCTGATGGAACATAATGCCCTGCTTCACATGTTCAATTTTATCATTTTCCGAGGCAGGCAATCTTCGTTTAAAGCTGAATGGGTTGGGGAATGTTAATGAAGCGCCGGCGCTGCTCTGCACCGCGCTTTATCTCTTGGAGAATAATTTGGGTGAGCTCGGAAATAGAGTTCCCAGTCCCAATTCAAGTGGCGGCAGCACCGCATGCCGATAAAAGTGTAATTCCTGGCCAGCGCGTGGCCCTGAATACATGACAATTTAACTCTTGGGGCCCCGCTGGGACGCGCTGCCTGCAGCTGCCTGCTGCTGCTTTGGGCCCCTGTGCCCTGCGTGCCCACACCAGCGTGGGTGCTCAGCCCTGGCAGGATGCCGTCTGTCACTCCCACTCAGCCCAGCCACAGAGCAAAGCGTGCACACCTGGGAGGAGAGATAAGAGGGCTGGAGCTGGGCTGGAAGAAATCAGTCTCCCTGGAGAGGCAGGACCCCACAGGCAGATCCACGGGGTGCTCTGGGGTTGGGGCTCTCTCTGCTGGGAGAGGGATGCCCAGGCACTGAGAGAGAGGGATGATGAGAGGGAAGGAGGGAGGGGCTGGGCTGGGGAATAGGCAGGAGGGAGAGAGGTCCAAGGGAGCATCACATTCAGACAGACTGGCAGAGCCAGGTGGGTGCTCATGGGCCAGGGGCACATGGCTGAGGGAAGGACTCCCCCAGGAGTCTCCCTAGGCCCTGGTGATCATTGAGGGGAGCGAAGATAATTTGCAGAAGGTGTTTGCTGGTCCTGGAAGGAGAAATTCAGGTTAGCAGGAGCAGCAGCCTTGGCTGCAAAGAGAAAGCCTTGTGTGGTCTGCCTGGCTCGCTCTAAGCCCAGCCATGGTCTGTCTCCAGCTCTCTCCAGCTGTGCTCTGGCAGCAGATTCCTGCACAAGGTGATCCTCGGGTCCTGCCTGAACTTCACTGTCCTGGACCCAGCTCCTGTGGCCTTCAGAGGTAGTGGGTGGGTGTTCCCAGGGCAGCACAGTACCCTCAGAGCAATGGTGCCTCACATCCTCAGCCACCTCACCCTGAAGACACTGGGAAGACGGTGTCTTGGCCAGTGAAGGGCCAGCAGGGCCTCTTGGGCACGACTCTGGGCCCTCTCTGGTGGGGCAGTGACAGACCCTTCCCCTGGGAATGAATGGGGCGGGCAGGTTTCCAGCACCGTTAATCAGGGCTGCAAGAGGCAGGATTAATGTGCACTCCAAGGCTCTCCAGTCCCAGCTGTGATCCAGCCCTCTGCTCTCAGCCAGAGCCGCCTCCACGCGCTGAATTATCAGCCTGAGTAATTAAGTGGAGAGCTTTGTTTTAATGCAGACATCTGATGCCTTCACACCGAGGAGCACAACAACTGTCGCGGGTGTTTATGCTCCGTGCAACACATCTGGCTCACGGGAAGAAAATCCATCTCCACCGCTGCGCGAGATTAAAGGCAACGCAGCTCAGGAACAGAGAAAGGGAAGCACAGCTCTGCAGCCAGCATGGTGGGCAGGTCCCATCCCCCTGTACCATCCCACGGGGTCCCTGCACCCCGCTGGCAGGAGGCTCTGGCTCAGGGCTGCCCGGCAGAGCAGGCGTCGCCTCCGCGCCTCGGCACGCAAGGCAGCACAACGCGCCGCCAGATGAGGGATAATTACGAGCTCGGAGATAAATGGAAATAGGGCAAAATAAAACATGGGTTTATCGGAAGTAGATGGTGCCTGGCTCACCTGATACCTGCTCCTGATAAGAGAACTGGCTGTTGGAGGAGGAGGGGTGCAGATCTAAAAGCAACCACTGTGCCATGCAGAAAATTATTGCTTTGCACAGATTAGGGGATTAGCACCAGTGCAAGGAGCTGGAAAGAGGCTGGTGTGGGAAGAAGCCAGGCTGTAGAGAGAGAGGAGATAGCATGCAAGGGAGCAGACCCTCCTGGGACCACTGTGGATTTGCCTCATTTAGTAGCTTCCTCTGCTGCCCCAAAAATGGGGGCTGTGAGGAAATCTGCTGATGCTGCACAAACACAGATCTCCTCTCTCTGCTTGGCCCCTGAATCACTGTGCTTTGTTCATCACACCCACTTGAGATGTCTGACTAGTTTAATGGATTTAGTGCTTTTCTTATGGGGCAGCCTGACACTGAGGTGAGCTGTGCTGTCATGAGCCCCTTCTCTGCAAGCTTACCCCAGCATCTCATGATCCCCAACACGTTGTGAGTGCTGCCAGTGGAAGGATTCCTTCACTCGCTGCCCGTGGCAGGGCTTTTTCCATCAGAGAGCTTGCCATCGCCTCCCATCGCCAGTGAGGGGAGAGGAGACTCCAGCTGGGAGTGTAACTGCTGCATGTGGCGCTCCCAGTGTGAGCATCAAAGGAACCCCATTGAGAAAAACTATCTTAAAGAAAAAAGCTCCAGGTGGTTTCCAGCAAAAAACACGCTCTGGGCTGCTCCCCCACTGAGAAAAACATGTCAAAATTTGGCAGGAGACCTCTGACCCTGATCCAGTCGAGAAGCAAATGCCGTTGTGGTTGAATGAAGCTGCCTTGCTGAGGCTCATCTTACTCCCTGTGGTGTTGAGCAGTCGGGGCTGGTGCAGCTCTGCTCCCCAGAGGAGCTGCCAGTTGGGATCGTGTGCTGGAATACGCTGTGCCTGGACATGCACATACTCCAGGGGCTTTGGCAGAATCTGGCAACAAAAACAGAGCAGGGGGTGCTTGAAGGAGAGGCACAAAATCATCCAACTCTCTGGCAGCCTGGGGTAATTTGAGGCTGGGAAATGTGAGCTGGAGCAGCAGGGGCCACACAGCCACCTCAGGGCAAGCAGGCTGATTTATTGCCTGCATGAGCCAAAATTGCAGCCCA